CTCTTCTTCTCCTAACTTTCACAAATTTTTGATCAGATTTAACTATCTTCTTCATCTGCATCTTTGTACTGGCCATCAGATCTAGTGAATGATTGAATAACGAAAATTTCTTCCTTTTTTTATTTTTGTGGTTACAAGATATACAATTTCTGATCTTTTATGAACATATCTTAGAACGAAAATTTTAACCAACTATGATAACATGGATGTATCAGAAAACGGCTCTGATACCAATTGGAGGTTTGTATAGGTCAGATACATTTCAAGTATAATAAACAACAAAGTAACTAATCAAAATAAATGTAACAACCCGTTTATTAAATAAATAAATAGATAAAAAAAAATGATGAACGAATAGTCACCCTAAATCCATATTATTTAGTGGAGTGTTTGTTTTAATGTTATAAATTGGATTATTCGGGGATTAAAGTGTAATTCCGGGATTTATTTTGTAAAGATTTTTAGAAGACAATCGTCATTTGGTAACATAAGGACTGCTATTGAAAGGTTTTGTTTAGGGAGTGGCTGCATGGTAATATCGGGACTTAATTTGTAAGGGTTTTCTGAAGGAGGGGTTTAAAGAGTAAATATGGGATTTATTTCGAAATGATTTATGGAGGGAGGGGCTAAACTTGTCATTATGGAAGTAAGTTTGGGGGATCGGGGTATATGACCCGCCACCCCTCCCGCTTCAAACGCTAACCCCAAATGAGAGATCGGTCGCCACCCCACTCCCTCTTCATCCTCCAGCCACCACTCTTTTCCTACTGTTTCAAATGAGCATGGGTTGGATCCAATACTCAGAACTTATGAGTACTCATAAATGTTGTAGCAACTCTTACTATGTCTAACATCTTAAACATCTACAAACCCGATTCATGAGAGTCTTAATTCATACCTATTTCCAACATATGACTGACTGTGGAGAGTTTAAATAACTTAGTCATTCGGAAAGAATAACCTAGTTATTCTGGAAGTCAAAACATGCTAATTGAAACACACGAATAATCGAATCCAATATGGTCTCAGAACTTATGAATATAAATAGAACAACTTTTCTTTATCACCATAGTGATTACATATTATTCATTACATACTGTTTCAAATTATCAACTTTATACTTGAATTAAAACAATAGTTGTCCCATGCTCCAAGCATGTACACTATGTTTTCTAAACACTAGTCATGCCATACACAAAGTATGCACACTATGTTTTCTTATGATCTTTACTTTGTGAAATAGATCGATTGAGCATAGTTCCAATGATTATCATTTCACAATCCCAAATCCTTACCGCAAATGCAAGAATTCCAAATTCCTTCCATTTACCTAAATCTGCTAGATTTTAAACTTATATGCACTGAATCTCTAGTAATGATTATGCACAAAATCACAAATACTTGTCAACAATCATTACAGAGTATTCCAATGGAGAACATTCCATGGATACGAAGTCTCAAATTCAAAGTACATTGCTTTGAACATCCTTCTTGCATTAAGTTTCCTAATCTTGCACAGATATAACGAATAACTTCCACTTATGGGAATATTTCCATATTCTCATTTTGACTATCACTTCTGAAGAAGAGTAGCCTCTTTTCAGAATATGTCAATATGGTCCTTCCAAAATTAACACTATACTTCCAACTGTCCCTGAGCAACCAATCTTTGGTAAACCTTACATTATCCTCGACAATTGCTTAATCATTTTAGTTATATCCAATTCTAGACTTTTCCCCTCTTAATGCCCTGAGCATTTGGAAAATTTTGAAAGGATGAATATTATAGCACATGCAATTGATCCTATATCCGAAGTATATGTGACACGATACATGATGTCTCACATAAAGATATGATACTTGACCAGTCTTTTTTGCTATAATATTTCTATTTCTATTTGCCAAGTTCTCATAATTCAGATTATGAAAAGAGATGCCGTAATCATAATCGAATTTTAGAACGCAAATAATGGACCCATATATAGAATTTCCTTATGTTGAGCCATTCCAACATAAAGTTCATATATATATATATATATATATATATATATATATATATATATATATATATATATATATATATATATATATATATATATCATTGACTAAAGATGATTAAAACCTCAATCTAAGCTTTTAGACTTAAAATGAAGTATAATTTCTTCTCCCTTAATTATAGCAAAACAACTTTTTTCAATCAAAACTTTTGTTTTCTATAATTAATATTGCTAACATGCAACACTTACGATAATCGTCATGCTCCCACTAACATAATGATTATTAGCATAACACTTATGCTCCCACTAGCTTTGACATGTACTTAGAAATCAGCTGAACTTCTAGAAATCAATAGTTTATTAACTTTCTTACCAAAGTTCAGACTAAAACTTTATCAAAATCATACACCTTTTCTTAGATAGCACACATGTGTATCTAAACAATTTTAGAAATATGAAAAGGGATGTCGTAATCATAGTCTTAATTGTTTAGACCTTTGTCATTCCTCACAAGTCCATGTTAGTGTGCCGGTTACCCACACATGCTCTACTAACGACTTTGAGAATGCAAATATCACAATTGATATCTACTTAAAATCTACTTAATGAAAACGTTTCCTCACCATCATTTTCATGAATCGGAGAGAAACCTTATGACACTTAGAATTTATGGTGTATGTGTTCCTATCCATGTGAATTTGTCAAAACCATAATATCAAAACAAGGTTAGTGACAAATCCAAACTCATATGAATTGAACTTGTCCAGTATTAACTTCTTGCCACCTAGCAGTACAGGGGACTGCCATTGATTCCAAATTGTTATGCAACCAATTGAGAACTCTTAGAACTCATATGCAAAGCCAACTTTAACTGGAATGGGCATAGAAATAGAAATATATCAACACGATAGGTTACAAACCTTAAGTCGTGTGCTAGTGATAAGCTACAAGTTTTACTCTTGATTAGATCTTGAAAATTTTCAAAGATCTTTAAGATTCCCACTGTCCTCTTGACATATAAGACTCACTTGCCAAATTTTCAAGAGATAGTGCAGAATCTTTATCAGTACAAACACTTCACACAATTAGCCTTAGTTGGTCTTTGTTTTATCCAAAACATCACAACTTACCAATTTCAAATGTACAAGAGTAGGACACATTTTACTCTTACATTTGACTAGTGTTAATAAACCTTCTTCAAGATGTATCACTCAAGTTACAATCTTGGAGTATGAATCTAAGACTTGTTTTGGAACGAAGTATGAATCATCTTCGTGATTTAACCATTTCAACAATTCATGACGCCTCTTCTTAGCCATAAGAATGCACTATGATGTCCTTAGATGATGAATTGTGATATGATCTCACAATCATTAAGACGATCATAAAACATGATACAAAAGTACTCTCCCATCTTTTCAGATTTGAGAAACTTTTATCTTTCTGCCTAATTTGATTCTTCTCATTCGTTCTGCCATACATTAGAACTTTTTCCAATGTTTCAGAATTATACTTAAACTTGTAAGTATAACCATATTTACTAAACCTTAGTAAATCATGACGAATAGTATTTGTGGTGGACCTGACTCATGTACACCCAAGTGTACCCGATCCCTTTGTCCTTCACTTGACATGTGAATAAGGAATTAGTCTTAATTTTCCAAAAATGAAAATTCTCATTCATCATACAATACAACCTGCATGATTCCAAGTTTCGGTCCAATTGAAACTTGGGTGATGAGAATCTTTCCTTATTTGGTAAATTTAGATACTACCACAAATGAAAGAATCAAATCCATTTTCCAATATTGCTATCAACGGAATCATATAAACAACAATTTTTCACAAATGCCACTATAAGGATATTTAAAATAAATAAACTAAAATCTTTTCTTTTATTTTAAAACTTGCGGAAAAACTTATCCTTATAATGAAAATTTATATGAAAAACTTGTTGTCATCTATGCGATCAAAACTCTTAAGCAACAACTCAAAATTCTGATCACCGAACCATGCAATCAAAATCCATCTTTGCAATCAGAATCAACATATTCTTCATTTAAGCTTCCTCTTTTATTTAATCCTTAAAACATCAACATGTGACCTAGTCACATCATGTAATAGGAATCTCCAAAGAGGAACTTAATAGAGTTAGATAGTGGACTTACCTGAAGTAGAGTCAAACTTTTTGACTTGACCAACCTTATGATCTTTCAGGTAAATAGGACAGCTTTGCAACTAATGCCCCTGCTTTTGGCAATATGGACTCTATGGGAATGGTACATGGGACTATCACAGACTTAGCCTTTCTCTTTACCATTTGGTCAACCGAGTTGACTATGGTCGATCCCTTTCCATTGGGAAGAGAAAGCTTTTCTGGATATTCAATGTTACCAATTTTCAATGTCCATTGAAGTCTGGGAAGTTGATCTTCTTAATCAAATTTGCTCTACCAGTGCTCCAAATCATTGCTGATTCAGCAGCACCAAGCAAGTAGATAAGATCATTAAGGGTCATGTCATAGTCTTTAACATAGTACTCCTTCAAGAACTCACTATGTGACTTAGGAAGTGATTAACGAACTTAGTCAACATCTAACTTCCTCAAGACTTTGACACCCAACTCTCTTGACTTGTCAATATGTGACTTCATCTCCAAGATATGAGCACACATAGACCTTGCTTGCTAATAGGGATTGAGTGACTTTGAACTCTTCAAGAACTTGTGGGTTAGGGAGAATAATTGGAGGAGGTGGAGGGAGTGAAGAATGATTTCCGAGACATCATCTTCATTAGGAAATCTTGTTCCAAACGCCACCCAAACCACCGGAGTCGGTCATCGTAACCATAGTGTCGAAACCCTAACTTCACCTTTACTGATGCATCTCATCCCCGCCACCCCCTTTTCAGCCACCATTGCACATCTTCCGACACCCAAAACTCTAATTCTCATCTCCTCCACCGTCTTCATGTCCCTTTCTCATCTCATTCTCTATCAGAAACTTTATGGTTCCGATACATCACCAACCTCAAAACTCTGACGACTCCTTTCTTCTTCAATATTCCAAATCTGAAGAACACGAGGTATGTCGATGTTGTTTTAATTATTCCCTCGAAGGCAATGCTGTTAATGAGTAGAATCAATCTCAAGTTTGGACAAAAATCCCTCTTTCAGTCTTTATTTCCATCTCTAACTGGAAAACTTGGTCATACCTTTGACAGATCCCTTTTCCCTGCATCAACGTAAATAAAAAAAACGAACCCATCAAAATCGTGGTTGTATGTAATGGGGTTAAAACCATTATTCATGTGGTTAAAAGTCGTCGATTGGGGATGCCAGTTGTGTAGATCCAAGAATGAACCCGAATTTTGGGTTCTCCATGAAGGAGATGATGGGTACGTGATTTCCTCTACCCGTTCTTTACCTTGTTCAACCTCAAGCGCTTGATTTTCTCCGCCACCACCATTAAATCGATGCTCCATCTTATGTGATTAAATCGATGGTCATTCCCTGTATCCACTTCAACTTCTTGTTTTGATTTGGGGATTTAAGTTCGTTGAGGAGGATTTGAGAAGTAATTACTAGGATTCTTTTACGAAATCGGTGCTACAAGCTTTAGATTTTGCGTTTGGTTTAAAAAAAAGAAATTGTTTTGAAGATGTATACGATGAAAAGCATTTTTTGGGTGGAGAAGAAGACACATTAGAGAGAGAGAGGGGGAGGGAGGAAGAGAGAGGGAGAGAGAGGGAGGGAGAGAGATATGTATTTTTTTTCATTTTTCTTTTAATTATAAAAGTTTTTAAACAAATAAAAAACTGAAAAAAAAAATTCCAAGGGCAAAATCATCATTACATAAAACTTTAAAGTAAACTGGACCAAAGTGTCAAAAAAATGAAAACATTTGGACCATGAGTGTTATTCCAAACTTGTTTGTCCCAAAGTAGCAATTTCGACCTAACCACGTGGACCATTCTTGTAATTTTGTCTTACACAATTTGTCCCTCGTGCAGGTGCCAAAAAGCACGTTTAGTCTCTATTTTCAAAAATTAACTTGGACGATCCCTCGTTTACTTAAAACTTGCACGCTTTGCCCCCTGATATGTATTTTTGTTGCAGTTGTAGTCCGCGACACATTTGAAATGACCATTATGCCCTTGGATATTTATTTTTAATTAATCTAATATTATTTATAACTTAAACAAAAAAAAAACAACTCTCTCTAATCTCTATGTCTCTCATATGCTGGAAAATACTAGCACCACCTCTGATGTTCTTCAACACAAAACACACACGCACATGTGTTCTGATCGAGAAAACAAGAAACATAACACACACACACACATATTGGAAAAGAGAGCATGTTTTCTTGGAGCTGATTAGTTCCATCGAGGATTCAACCGTGTCGTTGCGTGCATTAAAATCACCAGTGGATTCTCTACCATTCCTTTAAGAAAATCCCTCTAAGAATCTGTAAACCTCGAATCACCTTCACTTTAACTTGAAGAAGCCATCAACCTACAAACCGAATCCTCAATGAGGCTATAATCCACATCCCGAGGTAAATCTACCCTGTCGACTTACACCAGCTATGAGGAGGATGAAGTGGATTCAAAGAATGGGCAAGATGAAGTGGTGGTGGACTGAATCCTCTTCAATTTAGTTTCATCGATTTGTTAGCGGTGAACATCACATTCCCTCATCTGCTTCCGTCGATCGAAATCCTTTTTCTTCTCCTGCAACTTGTTAGTTCCAATTTGCAAGTTTAACGTTTAGTTAGGTTTGATTTGTAGGTTTAGGATGTGAACTTTAAGGTTTCAGTTTTCCAATTTGTAGGTTTGGGGTGTCGTCGAATCTGTGTGGAGGAAAGGGGTGGGATGGGTTCAATGATGGTCGGGGTGAGGCACACGATAGATTGTGAGAGACAGAGATGAACGTGCTCTCATTGGCCTCTTCGTTGGATATAGGTCTGTCATTTTTGTTTTCACGAAAGCTTGGGTGATGAAAGAAGTCTGGGGAAAAGGAGGGGGGTCCGCGGGATGAAGTGATATATTTATTTATTTTTATTTTCTTTTTTAATTAAAAAATGAGAAGCAAATAAACAAAAATTAAAAAAGAAATTATTAAGGGTAAAATAGATTTTTTCTGTCCAGAGGGATGAAGCGTGCAAATTTTAATCAAACGATGGATGATCCAAGTTAATTTATGAAAATAGGGACTGAACATGTGTTTTGGCACATGCATGAAGGATGATTGGTATAATTTAACCTAAATTTTAAGAAATTTGGTTTTTTCATACTTTTTTTTCAAAGACAAAAAGTTATGACCGAAAAACTAAGTAGGTGGAATAAAAAACTCACCAGTTAATAAGGGTTGAACACTTATCATGCTAGGGTGGGGGCATGTGTCAGCTCCTGTAGAGGCCACATGGCCGAATTTTCCTTTTCCTTTCTTTTTTCTTTTAATTTTTTTTTATTACTTTTGTAACTTGTACCCTCCAAATAATTGATATTCCCCGGAAATTATCAAAATCTCGCAATTAATTACGAAAATATCATATCATCTCGCGAGATTTTGACGGTAAATAAAATCAAATCTTTGGCATTTATTTTTTTAGTCTTAAGGCCAAAGATAGTCCTCGTTGTTCCTACAATATTTTAAGTTTCTACTTGATCATATATATATATATATATATATATATATATATATATATATATATATATATATATATATATATATATATATATCATGGTGGGTAAAAGCCAATGTTGTAAATAACATAAAACGTGACTTGACGGCAATGTCAAGTCTAAAGCTTTTCTGAGCCTTGGCGAACTACGTCCTTTGTAAGACGTGACTTAAGGCGGTAATTTTATATATAATTAATATTTTTATATGTATATTTAACTACTTTTCTATTTTATACACTTATATGAGTTAAGACAACGTTTTGGTAAAACTTGACAGTAAGTACAAGCTTTGAAGACATGACGTGCCTTGACGGAGCCATGACGAACTTTTTAGAAACTTGGTAAAAACCAAGGTTCTAAAAAGCTCGTCATGGCTCCGTCATGATGCACCATGACTCCAAGGCTTCTGTTTACCGCCAAACTTTACCACGTCGTTTTAACTCATATATGTGTATAAAATAGAATAATAGTTGAAAATACATGTAAAAATATTAATTGTATACAAAATTACCGCTTTAAGTCACGTCTTACAAACGATGTAGTTCACCAAGGCTCGAAAAAGGTTGAGAAGTCACGTCTTATATTATTTAGAACATTGGTAAAAACTATACATTTAAGAATAAGAGCAAATAAGTATCGGGTGATAGCCGTAAAAAATCCTATTAAGTCATTCACATGTAGTTATGATAACATATTGTAAAATGTATAAATAAAAAATAAAATGTTGATACATGCACAAATACTTCGCAAATTAACTCCATTTACCCTTATTTCATTTGTTAATCTTTAGCTTTTATTTATTAACCACTTTTATACAATTGATTATTGAATGATTTTGGCGTACTTACCCCTTCAAGTATGTCTATCCACATATAAATACAATTGGTCTCGAATGAGAACCATTTTGTCAAAATATCATTATAAGGATTATACACAAATACTAAACTTGTGTCAAAATGAGAACCATAAACATCTACATGAGATGTTGAGAGGAGTAAAATGGACAACTAAACAATGCCTAATTATTTTATTATATATTTTTATTTAAAAATAACAACTTATAATAACGACAATGATATTTTTTTTATTTGTTCGTCATGTGCCTTTGATAATATTTAATTCCTTAAGATCGGCACTAACCGTCTACGATGGTTTTGGTTCTGGTTTTATCAACGAAGTACCATTTGTTCCGGTTCTCGTCGAATTGATCGGGGAACTGCCTATGCTTACCTCTAGTCACAATGCATATCAAAAAATAACCATTACACCAACAAATGAATTGAAATGTACAAATATAAATAGTTTTCTATATGTATAATTGTGGTGTTAAAAAATCTAATGTTGCAACGAATTTTAAAAACCTAAACATTTTTTAAAATACGGCTAAAACTGGATTTATATTAAAAAAAATTAAAAGCTTTAAATAGAAATATAAAGAGTAACATGAAATTTTAACAATCAGAAGTGTATAAAATGATATATATATATATATATATATATATATATATATATATATATATATATATATATATATATATATATATATATATATATATATATATATATATATATATATATATATTTTAATAAATAAAAGGGGTATGAGTATAGGGAGGGGGATAAGATAAGTAAATATCTCATTGCTTAAATGGCCATCTCACTTCTCACATTGTTGACTATCGACCCGTGTGTTTCTTTCATCTTGCATAATTTCATACGACGGGGATAGGACCATGTTCCCACTCGTTCACATTTTTCTGCTCGCTTCCTTCCAAAAGCCTTAAATTTCGAAACATGATTGAAAATATTAAAATCAAGTAAATGAGATAAAAATTAAATGGATCAAATAGGTCCGATGGGTTGAAAGTTGTTCAGTTATATTTTTATTTTAAAACGCGATACCGCTATGTTAATTTTGCCACGCTACAGCCTACAAGCTCACATTGTTATGGTGGTGAGATGAGTTAAAATCACATTTTTTACAAACTAGGTTAAAAATGATATTAAAATCTCTCTCTCTCTCTCTCTCTCTCTCTCTCTCTCTCTCTCTCTCTCTCTCTCTCTCTCTCTCTCTCTCTCTGTGTGTGTGTGTGTGTGTGTGCGCAAGCTATCAATCGCACGTTATAACGGTGCAATAACGTTTTGCGGAAGTCAAGAACCGCTAATTTCAGTTTAGCGTTTTCGTTTCACGGTACTGTTATTTGCGGCGTTATTCGCCGCTATTTCAATAACGGTTATAGCTGCGCTATGGGTGCTATTACATTTCGTTCACATTTTGGGCCGTTCGGTTACTTTGTCAATGAAAAAATTGTTTTAATGATTTCATTACACTTTCATTTCAAAAAAGTCGAACAACTAATATAATTAAAAGCATTCAAAGCAACCACATCTACCAACAAGTCTCTTTGTCGTCTCTTTCTGTACTCACAACGATTCGAGCTGCTATGGTCGGACTCCATTAATGTTTTTTGTAAATCGACCCACAACTATGAGGCTAGGAATTAGGACTTAGCTCCTTAAATCAACCACGAACTACTAATACAATATTGAACCCGTGAAATGCAATTAAACTCTATTTGACGCTAACTAGTTTTCATATTACTATAACAAAATATTAAGTTATATTTTGATATGAATTTTTAGATTTAATGATATTAATTCTATATAGATTTGTAGTATTAATACTCAAATATATAAATTCTATGTAAATATAATATAAAATTAAAAATTATACGTAATACTAAAAAACTGTTATAGTAAATATAATACTAAAAAACCGCTATTGAAATTTTGACCGATTGACATCCACAAAGATGGGAGGATGTTTTCTGAGATGCCTTGGTAACTTTAAATCATGTAAAAGCTCCATAATTAATTAAAAAAAAAAAAAAGAATTTCCATGCAGCCATCGGTTAGATTTTTCTTTTTAACGATTTAATTACTAAGGCTTCGATTTTTCTATGTTAAAGAAACTTTAAATCGGCCTTTAAAAACATACGGAACATAAATACATTGAAAAATAATATTGTCACATTTGGGTAGAACTAACTGATTAGACAACCAATCAAACATAATATTGTAAACATCTGTATAGAACTTGCTTGATGTATTTCATAAAAATATTTGATTATTTATCTATGATATATTCAGTAGAAATAATTAATCGAATTTTGTTAATAAAAACTGAACATACTTTAGGCGATCGAAATTTGACAAAAATTTAACCATTGTTTGCACGTTAGAAATAATAAAATAGTAAATTATTTACATTAAATTTTTGTATACGACAATTTTAGTGTATTTTTTCATGTAGAGAAGAATTGAATGTGAACAATTATTTTGTCTCGTAGGGACAAAAAAATGGTATGAGCATACCCAGGCCAAATATATATACATGCTTCCAGTGGAATCATAACTCTCATATCCATCTCTGAAACCAATTCTAGAAAATACTGAAACACTGATATGGAGACGGAATACAAGGAGAAGGAGAAGGAGGTGAATGTGTCGAATAGAAATTCAAGCTTCAATTACAAGGAATTAGTGTTCAGGCTCTTAGCACTCTCACTCACTCTCGTCGCCGCCGTTGTTCTTGGAGTCGATAAACAGACCACCACCGTCTCTCTCACCCTTGTCCCGTCGCTGCCGCCTGTCGACCTTCCTGTCACCGCCAAGTGGACTGACCTCTCTGCATTTGTGTATGTACTTCCTCACTATAAACATCTAGTCGCGTATAATCAACCTGTAACTACATCTATTTGAAATTACCTGAACCTAATTGAGCGATTTGTTTCGATTTGTTTCAATTTTATGTTTGAGCCGGTCACATATGATGATATGATAAACTGTAATCGAACGATTCGTACTTCGATCTCTTTAATTTGAATTTGATGTTACAGGTACTTAGTGATTGTGAATGCAATTGCGTGCGCTTATGCAGCAATATCGTTGGTGATTCTATTGGTAACCAGAGGTAGAAATAAGCTTGTGTCATTGATTTTACTGATGTTAGACCTAATGATGGTGGTGCTGCTCTTCTCCGCCATTGGTGCCACCGGGTCTGTTGGTCTTATCGGGTACCAAGGGAACTCGCATGTGCAGTGGGAGAAGGTGTGTAATGTGTTTGATAAATTTTGTCACCAGGTTGCCATAGCTGTTTTTCTGTCGTTCGCCGGAAGCATAACTTATCTTTTGCTTATTCTGCTTGCTGCTGTAACTCTTCACAACAAATGAACAAATCCTCAGAGAAGCCATGATTAAACCTTTATGAAAATTGATGTAACATTTATTTATATTATCGTTGTTCTTCTTCTTCAAACATTTATTTATATTATCGTTGTTCTTCTTCTTCTTCATGAATTTACATAACATCGGAAATTTTCTATGTTGACACATGCGTTGTGCACATGACTATCAAGGGCAATTTGGTCATTTAATTCATTCTTCAATCTCCTACTACGTCTTCTTGCCTCTTTCACGAATCACGGGGACCTCTTTTAACCTCTTTTATAATGATTTGTTTTTGTTTATTTATTAAATATAAATTTACCAACGTAAAATTTCAAAGCTAAATATAAAAACTAAAAAAAGAACCCGAAATTAAATAAATTCAAGAAAAAAAAAACTCATATAATAAACCTAAAAGGAAAAACATATAAATATCAAAAGATAATGTTTAACGTTATCTTTTATACAGAGACTCAAACTAGAAACAAATTCTTGAATACTACTCAATTCCAAAAGTTTATCCACGTTAAATGGACACGTGTGAATTTTATCCACATTCAAACAAAAATAATGAAAAGGTAAAGATAAAGAAAGAACATCAATTAACCATTTCAAAGCACAAATAAATAAATAAAATCATGATCTTAGTTAGTTTATAAAAATCAAATTTATGTCATGATCAATTAAAAAGCCTTTAATTAGAGCATCTATAGTATGAGATTTTACAGTTTTTTCAAGCTAAAAAGTTCTTAAAAAAAATAAAATAAAATAAAATTTGAATGAGCTTTTTCAAAAAAACTTGGTAATATCTTCTGGTTATCTTTTCAACGATGTGGTGACTATAAAAATAAAACATAAATAATCAAAAGAGAAGTTTTTTTTTTTTTTTTTTTTTTATATTGTGGTGGATACAAACAACTATTTATTTTTTTATTTTTATTCTAAGTTATTTTTTTCATGAAAAACTATTTTATTTCAAATATGTTTATCAAAAAAACTCTAAAAAACAAGCTCATTTGTGGATGCTATTAGCAATACTAATTTACCTTTGTTTGTCGACAAACAGAATGACAGACAGTACATGTGACTAGAGACACAAACATTTGTCCCATGGCTTTCTTTTTAGTACATGCTTATATAATTTTTTTTTTATTACAATAATAATAAATAAATCTTTTATACTACTGTTAGCTGAGTTTATTATAATATATGTGGTCATATTGCAGACACAATGCCTACCCCATTTAATAGCACCATTTCCTCAACCGAAAATTAATGGACATTTATTCGTTTATCTTGCAAATAATGACTGTTGTATGCTCAAGTTGCTTGATTCTGATTAAATAATTTAATAATCAATCAATGAGGTCCATATGATTGAATTATTTAATAATCAATCAATGAAGTCCTTTTTAGAACGACAAAGAAATTGAATTAGAATTAAAAGGGCACTATGCGTTACATTTTCTTTAGATCGAGGTCTGATTTTTTTCGAAACAACAAATATATATATATATATATATATATATATATATATATATATATATATATATATATATATATATATATATATATATAAAAGAGCCATTCAATTAGCAAGTAGCTAAAACTAGGGCAAGAAGTACAAAGAAATGAGTTTATAATAGAAAAAAAATAACATAATAGAACGTAACAAAATGGATATATACTCCATTCAATCCACCTACGTTTCACCTCCTTGGATCTGAACTTGAACCATGAAAAGGTCTGTAAGATCACCTCATCAGCAATCTTTGCAAAATTAGTATGAATCCTTTTAAACCTCTTGTTGTTTCTAGCTAACAACATGAACCATAAGAGTCCATATAACACCACAATTACCTTAACTCTTTTTTTGGGCAATTACCCCAGGTTGCTGCAAAGTTAAAAACTCATTAACATCATTAAATTGAGTTAGGAATTCCACACCGATTTAAGATCCATTTCCGAGCCTCCACTGCCACATCACATTTAATCAACAAATGATCGCTAGACTTTTGAACCATGTTGCAGAGAGAACACATGCTTGATTGAACTTTGACTGCTCTTGCTTCCAGATTTTCCACCACTGGTATTCTATTCATAGCTACCCTCCAAATAAAACATCTAATTTTTAGTGGGATTACCTTTAACCAACTTATCTTGCTACCTTGACACGGATTGTTATTGGACTCCATTATGTTGCACATAGTACAAACTGTATAAAGTCCATCCGTACTTAGACTGAATCGAAAACAACTTTGTGTTGGTTGTGTATTAACCCCCTGAAGCATTTCACATAGATTTGTCAAATCACCCATGACCTCATCTTCTAAAGTCTGTGACTTCCAACTCCAACAAAAGCCTGATGAGACTATTATGTGGGACACCAGACATAGTTTTGTGGTTTCCATCTCATATAATCTGGGAAATCTTTCTTGCAATGTTAAGGATCCATACCAATGGTCTTTCTAAAATAAAATCGATACATTTGAACTAGGTACAAGTGTAAACATGTCAGGATAATTTATGTCAAATTCATGAAGAGCTTTAAGGGCTTTGGCAATGTTGCTCCACACCCCACACATCGATGCTTTTGCTATCATGGTAATTGGTTTTCGTGATAAATTATGTATAATTTTTATGCAAGATTTCCATAAACAGTCACTCACAACATTAAGTTTACACCACCATTTTGTGAGCAATGTTGCATTTTAAGCTTTTAACGATCCAACTCCTATTCCACCTTCCTTTTTTTAGTGCCACAACTTTAGACCATGAGACCCAATGAATCCAAGAATAAGACTCACTACCACTCCAAAGGAATTTCCTTCTCATTTTTCAAGATCATCAATTATAACATTTGGCACCTTGAAAAGAGAGAATTAATAATTTAGAAGACTATTCAATACTGATTTGATGAGTGTCAGTTTGCCACCGAAGGACAAGGTTCTAGCTTTCCAAATAGAAAGCCTCGATTGAAATTTGTCAATTATCGATCTCCAATTATTTTTTAACACCATATTTGCACCAACCAGTACTCCAAGATAAGTAAAAGGGAATGATCCTTAGTACAATCCATCACCCTTGCTTGACACTGTATGTTGGATTCCATCACATTGATGCCAAATAATCGTGACTTGTGGAAGTTTAATTTCAAACTAGAGCAAATATGAAAGCATTTTAGAATTCTGGCCAAATTATTTGTGTCGATTCATACCATTTTCCCACCAATATTGCATCATCAACATCATCAGTGTTGGATTAGTGTCTAAGTCCATAACTATAATTGGTATGTACTTGACCCGAGCGTAGCATGGTCAATTTGGGTTGCGTGGCACCAGAACAATCTAAAGGATGGATAAATGAGAAGAACTTATTTATGGTTTATTAATATATTATAAGTTTTAATATATTAATATGAAATTATATTATTTAATTAGTATTGATCAAGAATTAATTTTGTGATCAAAAGAGACTTATTAAATATATGGGGATTGATTATGTAAATCATTCATTCTTATAATGTAGGATTATGATCTATAGTTCCTTATGTTGGGCTAAACCCATGTGGTGACCTATGGATGATCCATGGAGGTTTAAACCCATGGAGCATGAGGGATATGGAAGGTCATGCACATTAGGGTTTGCATGGTGTAACCCTAATCAAGCCACACCATATAAGAAACCCTCTAGCTCATGAAGTTGGAACTGGTGGAAACACAAGAGGGCAAGTGGATTTTATAAGTGCAAGTGACATCTTCTCAAGTTCCTCTATTTGTTGGTGGTGTTGTGTGATTCCATTTGAGGTGTAACACTTGGGGCACTAAGTTCTTAAAGGTCCAAGGCTTCAACTACACTAAAAATTATGTCATCTAACTTGTATTTCATGTTGTTTATACTCCATTATATGCTAGTTAGGATAATGCTTTGGAATATTGAATGTATGCATGTATAATAGAGAGAAGAAAGATCCAAAGCATCTAGGGTTGCATGTACACCATAGGAATGTTAGAATGCTCAAAACCATTTAGTGGTATCAGAGCCTAGGGTTGTTTTCAATTATACTTGATGCCACTTGTTGTTTATGCTTCAAAAATCAATTTTTTGGCTGTCTAGATAGTGGACTTGCCGAGTCCAAGCACAAAACTGACCAACTCAACGAGTTTGTTCTTACACTCAACGAGTTGGTGCTCCAGAGTGCAGATTTTTGACTTTTAAGGCTGGAATTGGACTAGGATCAATACCCTAAACTATTTTTGAACTTATAAACCTGTTTTTGATGTGGTAATGATCATGCTTATCCAATTTAGAATATAATTGTCAAAGTTTCATAATTGTTATTATTTTATATGATTATGCTAATTACATGAAATTTGTTTGATATGAATTGTCTTGTTCTTATGAGTATAATTTAGATCAAAAACAAATTGATTGTTTTGTAAGTTACAATTTTTGATCATAGTGTTTTGATGAATTCCATAACTTGTCCTCAAGTTATGGAAAATGAAAAGTTTTTCTTTTAAAGAGATCATTAAGCTTATAGGTTATAAACTTGAAGAGCATTTTTTCCATAAATGTTTTTATGAACTCCATAACTTGTCCTCAAGTTATGGAATGCCAAGAGTCTTTTCATAAAACCTATATTAAACTCATAAGTTATGGATCCAAAGGTTTTTGAATAGTTCAAAACTTTCCTTGAAGTTTTGGAATTTGTGAATGTATAGTCTTCTTTTGACACATTTAGTTCCAAACCCTAGAATTTTAAAAGTTTAAAATTCAATCCTTATACTATTATAATGTTATAGGTTTAATATTTATACATATGCATAAGAGTAAAGCCAGTCTTACCGTTAGTAGGCCTTATTCACGAAGCCGGCCTATTAGGGGTTATAAGGTTACTGCTTATAAAATGACATTTTAATGGGTGTCCACTCTCACACACTGCTTCCTTGATTGGTTGAGGTTCGTTAGTTGAACGGGTAGGATAGGACTCTAATTCTACCTTCATTAAAAGTACAATTGAAACATCCCAAAAATACAAGCCAAAAGTTTCATTTTTAACTCATTAATAAAACCAAAATTATCTTTCAACATATAAAAATCATAAACTGTGTATCTCAAGAATAACATAACATTTGTCA